TAAAGAAATAGAATAAAAGTTTCCTCTGCTGTGTTGAATGCAGTAGACTTAGTTGGTCACCGGATGTCATTATACAAGCTTTAACTCAATATAAAAAAAACTCAATATTTGTGGATGGAAACGCCGCATGGCCTCAGCCGTTTAAATGACTACATAAATCCAATAACGAGTTTTGGAGTCACATTGGATCCTCATCTTTCCTTTGAAAAACATATTAGTCAACTCAACTTTGCCAGCGATGTTTCTAGCAACTCCAAAGAATTAGATCAATCTGACGTTTTTAGACAGTTGAGTCACAAAAGCTCTCGTTTGTAGTTTTAGCTGTGGAAGAATTGACTACTGCAATGCGATTATGTTTGGTGTCAACTTATCCCTTTGTGATGATTTGCAGTCTGTTCAGAACGCTGCAGCAAAACTTGTTTCTGGTTATTCGAAATTCGATTCAATATCACCATTTATCAGGGATGATTTACGCAGGCTTTGCATGCCAGAAGGAATCGTTTTCAAACTAGCTCTTCTATTCAGAGATTGTTTTGCCGAAGTCGCTCCAACTTATTTGAAGGAGCAACTACAATTAATTTCAGAAATTGCAAATCGGAGTCTACTGAGGTTCTCCAATAATGGTGATCTTACGCTTCCTAAATTCAATTCGCCTCGTTTTGGGAAGAAAAGATTTTCTGTTTCATTTGCAAAAATCTAAAACTCACTACCTGTAGATTTAAGAAAACGTTTGAAAGATGATTTGTTTTGACATTCTCGAGTGAACCTAGCACTTCTGAAGTTATTCAATGGAGGAGATCTACAAATCCTTGGATACAGATAAAGACCAAACTGTTTTTACGCACGAGTTTGCTCATTCGGCAGTAGTGCCTCATATCTCGCGCCGTAACGTTATGGCCCGGCTTCATTTGAATACTGTTTGTCTGAAATTCCAGACTATATATGCTGAATTGAGATATATGGTCGAGACTATCAAATGCCAGACGGTGCTAGCGACTACTTACATAATGTGTGTAAGCCGTTCGTGTAGTGTGGATAGTACAGCCTTTGTGGCACGATTGTTTAATTAATAATGTAATCAGTTTCTGCTTATGACAAAGCTGCGAAATAACAAAAAAGCCTACCGGTCTAGTGTTATAGCTTAATTCTCTTTTAATATTCGGCAAATATTTTATTTAATAATTTAGTTTAAAAGTTAAATTATTTTTATATAATTAAAAATTTTTGCACAAATAATTTGATCAATATTGCTTTAATGTTACTCTTCTTGCTTAAGAGTAAAGTTAATAATTATAAAGATAAATATGAAACATTAAACTAATCTCAAGCTAGGCAAAAGCTATTTCCATTCATTGTGGCGGGTCGATCAAACTCGTCTCGCAATTTGTTTTTAGTTTAAAAATTAATTTAATATGAATAAATCTTTAAAAATGGTTCAAATGTTCAATTTTTAATATTATTACTGCTAAAGTCTGTTTTAATAAATCATTTTAAAGAGCATATTTTGCAATTTTTCTGTCAAATTTCAAGCAAGCTACTCCCAGCTGACCCAGCATCCTTGATCCTGATTCTCATTCAAGTAGGCAAGGCAGAAGATGTTTTTTTACTAAACTCATTTTTTTTTATTTAGTTTAATAATTAATTAGTGAATGAACTCTGTCTTTTAAATTTAAATAAAAATAAAACATATCAAACAAATAAGAAATATAATCATAATGTTAAAATAAAAGGTTAACGATTTATAATTATTAGTTTATAATTTATATTTTTAATAATGATATAATTATTGAATTTTTAATTTAAGCTTAATTTTAATAAAGATTTGATACTCAAATAATTCATTGTGTACTGTATTATGATTCTTGTAATTTTGAAAATTATTTTTCTGCCTTTGATATAAAAATCAGTTACAAAAAGACATGGCACAGCAGCAGCAAAAGAAACAACAGCAGGCAGCTGGGCAGCAACAAAATGAGGCAGATGATGAATCTGCTGGACCCCACTTGATTTCCAAATTAGAAGTATTTCCATTATCTTTAACCATATAATATAATTTGTTAACATAAGCCATCTTGATAAAATTTGATTTTATCGACTGCCCTGAGCCTTTTTATAATCAAATAATTATCATGTACTTAGAATCAGTATTATATAATTTGCATATACATATTTATGTTATGTATGTAGCACATACATATATTTATAAGTCATATTTTATTTAGAGTATTAGTGTGGCGGTCAAAAGAGTGTAATTTTGCTGTTTATCTTTACTAACTGAAACTATAATTGAATTAGGGAAATGGCATAACTTCTGCTGATGTGAAAAAGTTAGAAGAAGCTGGTTACTACACGGTCGAGTCAGTGGTTTTCGCCCCAAAAAAATTTCTGCTTTCAATAAAAGGCATTTCAGAAGCTAAAGCTGATAAAATTATGGTAGGTCATAAATTATTGTAATGAATTATCAGCATTAAAATTCTGACTTTTATATATGTTAAATTAAAATCAAAAGGCAGAAGCTCAGAAGATGGTTCCTTTAGGTTTCACAACAGCTACAGAGTTCCACTTGAAAAGATCGGAAATAATTCAACTTACATCTGGGTCCAAAGAACTCGATAAATTACTTAATGGCGGCTTCGAAACTGGTTCCATTACCGAACTCTTTGGTGAATTTAGAACTGGAAAGACACAAATATGCCACACATTAGCAGTCACTTGTCAGGTATATATTTAACTGCACCGGGCAATAATTTAATTATTCAATAATATTTAATTTTTTAATAATAATAATTATTATAGAATTTGATAACTTGAAAATGGTTACTTAGTTACCTATTGATGCCGGAGGTGGTGAGGGGAAATGTTTGTACATTGACACGGAGGGCACCTTCAGACCGGAACGACTTCTTGCTGTGGCAGAACGGTTGTTTGTTTATCAACTCCATGATATCATTAATATGGTTAAAATGTAACAATGCAAATGTAACAGTATTATGCTAGTATAATTTGATTGCTTTTGAACGCATGCCTTCTCTAATTTGGTGGTGGTCATGCTATTCAACTGATCATACTTATTCATAAATTATTTAATGTCTACAATAACTCATCTGGCAGGTATAATTTAAATGGAAATGATGTGTTAGACAATGTGGCCTATGCTCGCGCATACAACTCTGATCACCAGTTGCAACTGCTTGTCCAAGCTGCTGCCATGATGTCAGAATCTAGGTTGGTTGGCTGGTTGATTGGTTGGTTGGTTAGCTGGTTGATTGGTTGGTTGGTTGGCCTGTTGATTAGCTGGTTGATTAGTTGGTTGATTAGTTGGTTAACTGGATGGTTCGTCACCTTAAATCAGTTTTCATGCATCTAACATTTTTCATAGGTTTTTTGTTTGTTGTAACTTTTATTTTCAATTTTCGTATTATTTCAATATAATAATAAATTTTTTAATAAAAAAATGGAGATATGCTCTGTTGGTTGTGGACAGTGCAACAGCTCTCTACAGGACTGAATATTCAGGTAGAGGAGAGCTAGCAGCCAGGCAAATGCAGTTGGCCAGGTTCCTCAGAATGCTCCTAAGATTGGCTGATGAGGTTCTTTTTAGGATTTCTTAGTCAATTAATTAATTTATCGGCTTATTTATTTATTTTTTTTCTCACTATTTAATTTTTTATATTAAACGAATAATTTCTACTCTCATTAACAACAACTAGTTTGGGGTGGCGGTTGTGATAACGAACCAGGTGGTGGCCCAGGTCGATGGGGCTTCCATGTTCCAAGCAGACCCTAAAAAACCAGTGGGAGGCAACATCATCGCACACGCATCCACCACCAGATTGTCCCTGAGGAAAGGCAGGGGTGAGACGAGGATTTGTAAGATCTACGATTCACCATGTCTGCCCGAGTCGGAAGCCATGTTTGCCATCAATGCCGATGGTATTGGTGACGCCAAAGATTAACTATTTCTCAATAAATTTGTTTTTTTTATGTGTATAAAGTAAGACTTTTACGTGATTGAGAGGAAAAGTGTAGAAACGAACAACTTCTATTATCTATTATCTTCTATTATTTCATTATGAATGGCTGGTACACTTTGAAATGTTTAATATTTTTCGTTCATTCTTTATTTCTGTTTGTAATTAATCTGCCTTTTGTATATTTATTTGTGTCTACGTTTGCAAAATATTCGGTGATTCATAAAATTTATTAACGTCCCTGATGCTTTTTATCTATATGCCTTCGATGTATGGTTGGCCACAAGCAAGACAGATTGGAGTGCGTGCGTGTAGTTTATGTTTGTGAGTGTTGGACGTTTTAAATTTTCACTCTTTCGTTCTGAATTGAATTTGACTGAAAAATCATTACTTTGACAATCTTTTTTATTTGTGAGACGCAATTGCGTTCACTTTTTCTGCTCTTTTTTCCGGAATTTTCATCCAATCAGAATTTTAGGATGGGTGTTGTGTGGTCTTGCATATAAAGTTATCAATACAGATAGGTGGGTGGGCCAGAGAAGGTGCTTCATATCGAGACGTGGTGGCCTCAATGTTTTCTAATCTAATATTTCGTGTTTTTCGGGCTCAGCCGTTTGGCTGAATAATTGGGGTTGAACCCTGTATAGAATAAAGTGGGTAACAATGAGATTCGGTTTTTTTCTTGTTTATACTAGTGTTTTCCTGTCGTATTCTTATAAACTAAACTAGAAGTTAGAATTGCGTTGACATAACGTAAGGTTTCTGGTCAAGCGTTATATTTCTATTTCAACGTGTTCAACGATGGAACGTGTTTTTTTGTGCAGCTCGTGCAAGAATATTAAATAATTTTATTTGGTAAAATGTTGGTAATTAGCGTAGCAGTGGTTGGTTTTTATTATCGAGTAAACTTTCAAATGCACTCTCGTTACCGTGGCAACGCTTTTGTTTAGCATGTTTGGTTTCACGAAGTTTTACCATACCTACTATTGAATCAACAATCAACAACTTGAAAAAAATATTTTTTTGAAAATGTCATTGCCGAGTTTAAAGCCAAGCCATCATTCTATCATTACACAAGAAAATTCGAATTCACCTCTTCCAAATGAAAAATTATCTCTGGCAGGAAAGCATCAGAAATTTTCCTTCGAGCTATTTAGAAAGGATTTCGATGGCAATCCCGTAAAAGTTCACCTCGCTCATGCTCATAACCAGGAACCAGGTAATTAGTAAAACTGAACAGTAGAGTAGACAAGATGATAAAGTCTTTAGGTGTTCTGGTAACGTAGCAGTGTACTATCTTGTGCGTGTAGCAAATAATTGCTTGGTGTTCTGTTCTGGTCATATACATAGAACCTAGTTCCGGTGATGTTGAGTAAAGTTAAAAATTTCGCATAGCAAAATTAGTTGTGATTGTCATAATGCTTCACGAATGCGTCATAATTTTGTGCAGCTTAACAACGTTGTAGAAGCTGGCATTTGGAAAGGCCTCAATTAATTAAATCGTTGTAAAGTGATGGATATAAAGGGCCGTGGGGGCGCTTCCCCCTTCCCTTTGTGAGCTTTTTTTTGTATAAAAAGTTAGTAATGGTGGTTTTTTTTAACGAAAAAAGTAGTGTTTGAATAAATTTTTGAAGGAAAAATTGGTATTTCTAGAAAATTTGATCCCCCGTCGAAAAATTTGCCCTCCCCCAGCTGAACATTAAAAAATTTTTTAAAAACTTGTGAAGATCTTCCCGGTCGTCAAGCACTTTTGAAAATCTTGGCCGCTTCGTCAAAGTCATCTAGATCCGCCACTGCCCCTACACTAACAATACCATACTGATTTTTTATGAGTTAAATTTGCAGTAAAAAAGCAAATTTCAAGTTTTAAAAATCATTCCATTATTATGATAGTTTCTATTCATTATTGATAAAATTTTCTACAATTGAAAAAAATGAAGATGTTCACGAGACGGGCGTTCCAGAAACTGTGAACTGGACTTGTGAGGAGGTGGCCGATTGGGTCGAACGCATCGGCTTTCCACAGTACCAGGCTGGCTGTCTCAGTAGTTCGTCACTCAACCAACTCCACAATCAATTGATCAATCATCGATTAATTAATCAATCAATCAATTTTCGATCATCAATCGGTATATTATGAATTCTTTTTTCAAATATCACTCCAACAAACTAAACAAGCCACTCAGGAAATAATGCATCAACTACATTCCACCATTCACCCACTAAACACGCCAACAGACATTAATTTTATTAATTAGTTTATTTAGTAATTTATTTAGTACATCCGTCCAATTTTGTGAACTTAATTACAGCGTGGACTATAAACTTGTGTTTTGATATTATTATTATTTAATCAATTAAATATCTAATTTATTAAATTTATTGAAATTATTCAGGAATGTTTCACGAATAACTTCATCAACGGCCGACGTTTGATCCTCATCAACTCATCCACGCTAACAAAGTTAGGAATCCACGACTTCGAACACATCAAAGTTACGAACGTTTCTGTTTGTTTAGCAAAACGTGTCAATATCCACAATTTTCAATAACTGTTACGTAAATATTGATAATTAGTAAGAAGAAACAATTTTATTACCATTTTCAGGCTTTTTTTTACCAAATATTTATTAAAATATCATAAAAAAAAGTTTTTGGCAAGCTCGATTCGACGGTTGATTAGGGTGCCCTTCGTGTCTGGCAACCACAGCATTGCAGACCCCCACACCAATGCACTTGGTTAGATGCCTCGTTTTCATTGGTTGGATGGTTGTGCATTGGGTGAATTAATTAATGTGATTGGTCGATAAATTTGGCGGTTTGATGGTCATTTATCCTGATTGGCTGATGTTTGATAGACCAATTAATGTGACTGATTGGTTTAAGAAAGGTTAAAATGATCAATTAACGTATTTGGCTAGTTCGCTCATTGGATAGATTAATTAATCAATTAATTAATTAATTAATTAATGTGATTGGTTTGTCTGTTTTTCGTTAAGCTAAATAGTTGGTGGGCTGGTTGGTCGGTCGGTCGATTGGTTGGGCGGTTGGTTGGATGACTGATTGGGTTATGAAAGTGTAATCAAAATAATAATAAACAAATAAACCAATGAATTAATTGATGAATGAACGAATAAATGAATGAATACACGAACGACTGAATAAACTAATTAATTAATTAACTAACGAAGGAATAAACGAGCGAATGAATTGATTAATACACGAATAAAAGCTTGAATCTTCTTAAATTAGTCATTAATTGTATTATGTAAAAAAATTTCTAATAAGTTAACGTTTAATTAACTTTTTTTAATTATCTAATTAGTCGAATTAATTAATTTGGTAATAATTTTAAATAAATTGAGGCGTGTTCTTGGAACAGAAGTGCATGACAAAAACCATTCCGGATACTATATCGTACGAAGATATCCTCAGTCAGTTTCATGATATCAAGACGGAACCACCATTACATAATATGATGTGATGTTGTGACGTGATGATGTCATAGAAATGAGATGACTGTGCTGTCACGATTATGTTGTAATGGGATGTTGCGTAATGATACTGTGATGAAGACGTAATTATGTGGTGATGATATAACGATGAGGTGTTCTGATGATATACACCATCAAGTTACATTTTTCGATAGTGCAAGTGATAATATGATGTCATCATCAACTAACAACAGGCCAGTGATAATGATGATGATTATGGTGAAGATGATGATGATTATGGTGAAGTTGATGAATGTGGTGAAGTTGACAATGATGGTCATGTGATTGCAATGTGTCGTGTGATATCTATACTTAATGTCATGTGATATGTTAGATAATTTGGTATGCTGTTATGATACGGTAATATGATGGTGATGAATTAATTTTTTATCTAACCATTCTTTTTTCTGATACATTTTAATTTTTCAATTTTATTTTAGCCATTTAAATTTTTCAAATAGTATATCATTTTTTGATTCATTTTTACCAAGAAAATGTTTTCTATTGCAACTATTAGTTTATTCAATTGTTCCAAAACCGTCCGTCTATTCATCTATCTATTCATTCATTCCATTCATTCAATCATTCAATCAATCATTCATTCATTCATTCATTCATTCATTCGTTCGTTCGTTCGTTCATTCATTCATTCGTTCATTCATTCATTCATTCATTCATTCATTCACCCTCCTTTCTTCCATCCATCCATCACTCCGTCTGTTTACATCCACTTATCAATCGTTAGATGTCGTTTTCTAAAGCATTAAAATGTGTGAATTTGTTTGAGTTCGTCATCACTTTATGCCGTTCGTTCGTCCGTTCGTTCGTTCGTTCTCACGTCCGTTTGTTCATTTCTTAATTGTTTGTTCATTCCTTCATTTGTTCGTTCATTCTTTTATTTATTTTTTATTATCAGTTCACCAATTATCAACTAATAAATCAGTTAATCGTTCTATTCGTTCGTTCGTTAAGTCATTCATTTACTCATTCATTCATTCATTTATTCATCCATTCATTTATTCACCCATTCATTTATTCATTTTTTCATTCATTCAAAATTCCTTGATGATTCTTTCATTCATTTAATTATTTAATCAATAAACTGTGCGAATTGATGATAAACACACACACATACACACGTACACACACATACACGCACACACTCACACACACACGTACAATCACGTACATATCTACAATCACACACGCGCACAAACACGCGCACACACGCGCGCACACACATACATTCACGAACACAGACGGCAAGTTTTTGATTATTAAGATAATTCTTTATGATGATTTTTTATATCCTTTCCGTATATCAACAAGACCGATGATTTCGACAGCACAAAACTGGTGGTTTTATGGAAGTGAAAATCTCTCTCTCTCTCTCTCTCTCTCTGTCTCTCTTTCTTTTTCTCTTTCTCTTTTTTTCTCTCTTTTCCTCTGACTTTCTTTCTTTCTCTCTATATCCTTTTCTGTTATTGCTTTCATGTTTGTATTTTATTTTGATTTTATGTTTGTTTTTGTTTTTATGTTTTTCAATTCCTTCGGAATGATGATGCGATGATGATGATGATGATTGTGACGTTGGTAAAGACAATCGTGATGATGATTGATGATGATGATTGATGGTGATAGTGATATTGATAAAGATGATGATGATGATGTTATCATCAACAAAAATGATGATGGTGATAAATGTGTGATGAAGATGGCTACGATACAAATACAAAGAAGATGAAAGTGATGACGACGATGATGATGAGGAGGAGGAGAAGTATGATGACGACGACGACGATGATGACGATGATCACGGCATCATTATCATCATCAAGCGGCATGTTTTTACATATTACCCCGGCAATTAACTTGTAATCATAAAAAAAGTTGGTTTCTCATTCCTTCATTCTCTCGTTCTCTCGTTCTTTTCAGTTATCTTATGCGATATGATTTAGGCTATAAAGATCAAAAAGACGATGATGGGAATGATGATGTTGATGATGACGATGATGATGGGAATGATGATGTCGACGATGATGATGATGATGATGACGATAATGAAGATAATGATGATGATGGAGATGGTGATTATCAATTATGAGATTATTATGATTATCATGATTAAGATGATGATAGTGGTTATAATGATGGATATGTTGATAATGATGGCGATGATGGTGATGATGGTGAAGATAACCATGCTGATTGTTGTAAGAGTAATGGTGATAATGATGATGAGGAGGGTGTTAATAATTACGATATTATGATAATGAGGATGTTAATTAAGATGATGATGGTGATGATGATAGTGATGATGGTGAGGGCGACGATGATGATGATGAGGATGGTGATGATAGGGCATCACTAAAGATTACAAAATGGTGCGAAAATTTTGTTTTATTATTATTATTGTTGTTATTATTATTATTATCATTATTATTATATTTATTTTTATTAAAGTTATTGTATGGATAATCATGATAAAGACTAATGATGCAGAACATATTGCGGGACAATGAGAAACAAGAAAGTCAGAAGAATGAAAAGATGATGTCCATGAAGATGATGGTGAAGATGAGGAAGAGGAGGACGATGATGATGGTGGAGATGGGGAAGATGAAAATGATGGTGAGGATGAGGATGAGGAAGATGAAAATAATGATGATGGTAAAGATGAAGACGAGGAAGATAATGAAAATGAAGATAAAGCTGATGGCGATGATGAGAAAGATAAAAATGATGGAGAAGATGAGAAAAATGAAGATGCTAAGATGCTAGAGAAGATGAGGAAAATGTAGATGATGGTGGAGGTGAGAAAGATAAAGAAGATGATGATGATGAAGGCAGGTGAGGATGATTATGATGTTAATAATGATGATGATTATGATGATTGCGTCGAAGTAATGGTGATGATGCCGAGGTGATGATGGTGAAGAGGATTTCTATGATAATAATGATAATGACTACTAGGATGATTATAAAACTTAATGGTATAACAAAAATAAAGCCAATGATGATGCTGATAATGATGACGACTACGACGATGATGATGAAATAGGACGGTGATGAAGATGATTAAGTAAGAGAATTGAGGAAAAATTATAATGTAGAATAATTGATAAACATGATGATGATGAAAATGACGACGATGATAATGATGATAACGATGAACATGAAACTCACCAAGTTATCATCACCTCAGCATAAACACCATTGTAACAATCAAACAGGTAAGCTTTGTATAATTCATCGTAAAAGTCTTGCTATGATCATTATGAACTTATGTTGTTCAAAAATCTCAACATACATACATACAGACATACAGACATACATACATACATACATACATACATACATACATACATACATACATACATACATACATACATACATACATACATACATACATACATACATACATACATACATACATACATACATACATACATACATACATACATACATACATACATACATACATACATACATACATACATACATACATACATACATACATACATACATACATACATACATACATACATACATACATACATACCATCATCATTAATTTCTTTTGTAATTAATATACCGGTTAATAAATTTAAACATAAACAAAAAATTATCAACAGTTATTTAGTTATTTAACTGCGATGTTTGATACGCAAACAAACAAACAAACACACAAACACATACATACACATATATTTATATTTATATATATATATATATATATGTGTGTGTGTGTGTGTGTGTGTGTGTGTTTATATGTGTCATAAATAAGGCGTGAAGTATTATTATTATTATTATTAATTTAAGGATCTCCGACTTCAAATGCAATAAAAAAACACGTCATCGTTATTTATTATTATCGTCATTTGTAATAATAATTATAGCAATAATAATAATAATAATAATAATAATAATAATAATAATAATAATAAGATTTTTTTAAAATATTATTTGCGTATGTTGAATGCTGTTTTAATTTTTAATGTAAAATGAAACTTAACCGGCGTTTTGTTTAGAGATAGATGTGATGATGATGAAGATGAAGATGATGATGACGACGATGATGACGATGACGCTCAATCTCAATGAAATATCATCATCATCATATCACATCATCATCATCATCATTGTCGCATAATCATCAATATTATCATCATCATCATTATCGTCATCATTATTGTCATCGTCATCATCACCATCGTCGCCATCATCATCATCATCATCTTCGTCGTCGTCAGCCAGTGAGTCCCATTGAGACATCAAACGTGATGAAATATACCAACTGTAATACGACACCAACGCACATTAATAATAATAATAATAAAAATAACAAAAACAATAATAATGATGAGGATGATAACGGATATGATGAGGATGATAATGGTAATGAATAAATAAATAAATTTATCTAAAAATGATGATGCTGAAGATTATGATGATGACACGCCGATGTTGATGATGACATCGTCATGACGATGATGACATCATCATATCATATTCCACACACACACACGCACACGCGCACACACACACACCACATACAAGACTACTGATGATGATGTCGACGATAATGATTAAGACCGTTCAATTAATTTACCATCTTGAATTTTTCATTTGGTAATTGGTTGCAGCAACCTATGAAGCTAACAAATGTGATTAAAAATGTAGTCGACTTTTTTGAACAATCAATCCAATTCATGATGACACCCACGTACAGACAAACAAACAAGAACATAGACAAACAAACAAACGAACGAACGAACAAACGAACGAACGAACGTCAAACAAACATAAAAACAAAACAAACATACAGGCAAACAAACAAACGGACGGACAGACAGACGAACATATATACATACATACAGACAAACATATATACATACATACATACATACATACATACATACATACATACATACATACATACATACATACATACATACATACATACATACATACATACATACATACATACATACATACATACATACATATTTACATGATTTAATTGTTCATACCGTTGAGAATTTGCTAAAGTTATCTTGCATCAGATGATGAAGAAAAATTCTTAATTCATCTCCATTACAATTTGCAATTGTTAATTATTCTGTTAGCAATCACTGCTAATTGTTATTAATATTATTATTATAATTAAGATAATAATAATAAATAATTATAACATTAATAATAATTATTATTATTAAATATTATTTCGTTACCTTCGACAAGATATTAATTTTTCCCTTTTCAAGTTATAACAAATGTGTGTGTGTTTAATTTTTTTCTAATTAAATTTGCGAGTTAATGCCGTTCTTAGCCGGCTTGAAATAGCTCCTCTCTATAGCTGATGTTGGTTCAGTCAACTTTCAAACTTTCCAGCTCTTTGACTCAGTCGGACTTTATTTGGCGATGCATTTTTATTTACAATGCGGTCAACAACTTGTTAATTATTTTTCAAATTTAATGTGTATTTGTTGACGTGTTTGTTGCTTGTTTGTGTTTGCTTGTTTGTGTTTGTTTGTTTGTTTGTTTGTGTTTATTTGATTGTTTGTCTGAGCAGCCTATTCATCAATCGCATACACAAATGTCTTATCTGATGTTTTCTAACTTTTTCGAACTGGAAAGTCATTTGAGTTATTATTCAAATTATCTCAATCTGGCTGCCCGTGAAAAATTAACACGATAGCAATAAATGTGAAATAATTTGAATAAATACGAGATCCTGTAAATTCATTCTTAAAATATTTTATTCTAACTGGTAGGCACATTCCTGCAAGAACTGTGCGTAAAATTCACAGCTGTGTTTAATTTCACAGGATTGGCAATAAAATAAACTCATTTCCGCAACTAATTTAACAACTAGTTTAATTTTTTTCAAATTTAAATCTGGTTTTAAATCAATATATAATAATCATCGGCAGTGTTTGCACTAGATGGCTTCCAACTACCTGCCGGAGGATGATGATGATTTTTTGGCACTTGTGGATGAACTCTTGAGTTACGCTGCACGCATCGAACGTCTTGAGAAGACTGTGAAAGTCGAAGAAGCTGATGAAGACGAAGCAGCTGAGGCAGCTAACGAAGACAAACCAGCTAAGTATAACACAGCAGCTATAAAAGACACATCAGCAAAAAATAGCACAGCAGCAAAGAGTAACACAGCAGCTAAAGATAACATAGCAGCTAAGGATAGCACAGCAACTAAAGAAAGCAAAAATGCTAAAGATAACACTGCATCTAAAAAAAGCAAAGAAGCTACGGATGACACAGAATCTAAAGAAAGCAAAGAAGCTACGGATAACACAGCAACTAAAGAAGTCAAAGAAGCTAAGGATGACACAGAATCTAAAAAAAGTGAAGAAGCTACGGATAAAACAGCAACTAAAGAAAGCAAAGAAGCTACGGATAACATAGTAGCAGCAGCAGCAGTACCAGTCCAAAATATTGACCCGAACGCTGGTGATCAAAGAAGCAAGTTCAATAAATTATTGGACTACCACAAAGAAACGAAGGAGAAATTGAAAGACTTGAAGAAGATCATAGATCGCTACACGCACAGAGAGACGGACATGCAGGGAGTGAAGATTCAAGGCGATGCGCATACACTGTCTGCTTTTTGTTATACCCTGCTGGAAAACAATCACAAATTAGAACATCATTTGAAAGAATTCCACAGTAATTTTATCGCATTAATTCGCAAAGTAGCTGAGATGCGAAGGAAGTTTTTACGAACCTCTAATCAGAAAACGACCGGCAGAGTGAGGCCTGAGAGGTTGGCTGAAAGACTTGGCAAAATGTCGCTGACAGCAGATGACTCAAAAAAAAGTCCGTCCAAATCAGCTGGAAATGTGGAAGCTACGAGCGCAGCTTCCTCGGACACTGAAAGAGATCGTGGAAATGTACTGTCGCCAGGAAAAGGCAGGCCGAAGAAACGTTAAGAATGCATTAATTACGTAATAACAAATAACAATATCGCAATAATAACACTGCAGCATAATGATAATATTAACACATAAATAATACAAATAATAACACTTTAACAACACAACCATATCGGGACACGACATAACTACAACACAAATAAAACAACTACAACAAAATTAACAACAACAACAAAATTAACAACAACAAAAACACAAGTAGATGGATTGACGTTTTTATAAGTATTGATAAAGTTTGTCGGTTGTTTTATCATTAATTTACGTGTAGTTTTTTAAACTATGGACAGGACCTGTCGTGCAAATGGTCTTCTTGTTGGCGTTAACAACTAAAATAATAATAATAATAATAATAATAATAGCATGAGATACTTTTTGATTTTTGATAAAGTGACATTTTATATCGGCTCATTACTTCAATTTACCATTTTATTATTTTTGTTATTATTGTTATTATTATTATTATTAGTAGTAGTAGTCTTAGTATTATATATATATATATATATATATATATATATATATATATATATATATATATATATATATATTATCATTATTATCAATATTATTTTATTATTATTATTCACTCATTCATTCTAAATGAATTATTGTAAATTGCGATTACTGTTGGTTTTAACTTTTTCATATTTCAATTTTATATTGATTATTTTGTTGCGTTTTGCAATGTAATTGAGGTGCGCTTAGCTTAGGCAGGCACTCACGCCACACACACACACACACACACACACACACACACACACACACACACACACACACACACACACACACACATACACATACATACAAACACACACGCATACAAACACACACACACACAGACACACATTTTTACACCTTATACGCTTGTGTGTGTGTGTGTGTGTGTGTGTGTGTGTGTGTAAATGTGTTTATCTAATATATGTATGAGTGTGCATATTGGTTTTTCATACCTACAGATAACAATTTTAAAAAATTTTTGAAAAATATTTTAATCAGATGTTGCAAGAAAAAATTCATACAAGTGTTTATTGTTGTTCAGTTGAATTAATAATAACTTAAAAATGAGATAACAAATAAATAAGAGACATTAGATATGCCAACAGAAGCCTTTGATTAGATACTATCTACGTTAATAACACACACCACACACACACTCACACAAACATTCACACACACACACACACACACTCACTCACACAAACACACACGACAATTGTTTTAAATGATTTCAAGCTCGAGATAGAAAAAGTTCCGTCCAAAAATTTTCGCACCAGCAA